CCGGGGGATATATATATATATATATAGGTGGACTTAGTTTCCCTTCATCTATGGTTATTTTTGAAATAAGAAAAGTTACATATTTTAATGCAACATGTGCTTGTGATTATCTTTGTATGTTGACTTGATATTAAATTTTTAGATATGTACAACATTGCTATAGAAGAATAAGCTTTCCTTGAAGATTCATCAAATTATTATGCTATAATTTATTTATTTTGTTTGATCTAAAAGATTGAAAATTTAGATGATATTTACATAATTTATAATTACAATATGAGTTTTTTTTTTACATATTTATTGAAATGCATATATACAAAACTACGATGCTTATGACCACTTTGTCAAAACACAATTTTTTACCACAAATCATCATAAAAAATAAGTTTTTGATACCATTATATTAGGAGTTATTTACACAAATCTTACATCCTCTCCCATAACCAAAAAAAAAAAAAAAAAAAAAAAATCATTTTTGGTATATAAGTACTAGTAATAAAATTCAATTTAAATTGAGTTCTTAAAAAGATGAAAACTAATGAAAAATAGTTATGATAATTCTCAAAATAAATAAACTACATTAAAATGTTGAGTTGACCTACTAAATTGACCAAATTTTTAGGGCCGGGTTGGTCAAGTTCCAAGAGATGAGTTCGAGAGACAAAGTTCTATGGGCCGAGTTAGCCGAGTTCTGAAGGAGTTTTAGAAGGTGGTTTCTAAGTGTTGAGTTTCAGAGGCCGAGATACAAGATTGGGAATCCTAAAGAGTAGTATTAAATATTGAGTTTCTACCTTCGTAACGTACACATATTCTACATAGAGCCACATGAAACAAAATCAATTCATCCCATAAGAGACATACAACCTTCTACACTCTAGTCACCCAAACATTGATGGCTCATATCTTTATCTATTTTCTACTTATTTTTTGTCAAGTCTTATACAAAAGTAAAATACACTCTTATCCCTAGATACATGGAGTGAAAATTTGGAATAGAGGGGAGGAGCTTTTTAAGGGGGCTCGTAAACCTCATTTGTGGATTCTCTTCCTTTCTTTTGAGGATCTCTCTTTTTCCTCTCCTTGTCTCTCTTTCTCCACAAACTTAGGCATACCAACCGATATATCTAGACTAATAAAATGAGGGTCATATAATTGCAACTAATATTAAACCTATCTTAAAATTGACAAATGACTCTGAAATCCATCCTATAAAAAATTTAAACAAAATATTTTACCTTTTCAAACCTCTAAAGTACATTAATTTCAATCACTCAATTTAGTTCTCATGTCTGTCCACCCATCCTAATTAAAATTTCAATAGAATATCAAAACCAAATCTTTTTTTACTCCCTCAAAATTCTAAACTTTCATTAATTTCGCTTACTTATCCTGTTGCCCCTTATAAAACCATATTGAATCTAACTTCACCATCATCTCACAAAATTCCTTTTTTTGTTATTCTTTCTGATAATTCAACCACCAATCAAGATTCTTTAAACTAAATTCGGAAACCTTTCTCATCTTTCAGATTCATAAACCGACTCCCGAATCCTATAAATACAACGGAGATGGAAACAACACGATATCCTTCACCTCTCTTCACCCTTCTTCCTCCTCCAATGCAGCAAATTCCAAACGACAACCTCTCCTATCCGCCGACGGCGAAGCGGCGTCGCGGCCGCCCTCCCGGTTCAAAGAACAAGACCAAAGCCGCCTCTTTTCTCCGCCCTCATGTGCTTGAAATCTCTCACGGAGCTGATATCGCAGAAGCCGTGAAGAACTTAACCCGCAACCTTGGCGGCTACGCGTCTATTCTCACGGCCAACGGCCCCGTTTCTTCCGCCGTGTTAAAACAGCCATCTTGCTCTTCCGCCGTCGATATCACACTTCGTGGTTGCTACGAAATTGTCTCCATGACGAGTTATTTCCGTGGCGGCGGTGGATGCGGAGAAGGGAGTATTGCGGTTACTATGGCGGGGATAAATGGGGAAGTCGTGGGGGGGATTTTGAGCGGGGCGTTAGTGGCGGCGGGGAGGGTGGTTGTGGTGGTTGCGGAGTTTTTGAATCCGGCGGTTTATGAATGGTCGGAGGTGAAGGAATTAGATTCGAGAGAGAAGCGGGAGCTGCGGAACGAAGAAGAAAAGTTTGAAATGAGGACTGGAGATGAAACTGCGAGTTCAGAGATCGTCGGTGATGGTGGGGATAATGGCGAGTGGTGCAGAAACTGGTTCGGGCAATGTGAGAGAGACGTCCAGGGATGTTTTGACTTCCCGAAGTCCGGCGAGACGGGATCCGGATATGAGGCCGGGGGATATGAAGGGTTGTTATTTCCCTTCTGAACCCACCTCCCGTTTTAGGTTATTTAGGTTGTGCTTTTGATTTCTTATGCCATTTTTTTTTTTAAGAATTTGGCTTGAATTTTTCTGTTAAATTAGGTCATTAATTTGGTTTATTTGTTTGTTTTATAAGTACTGTATAATTATTGATGGATGATAATATATATAGATA